TTTATATATATATATATATATATATATATATATATATATATGTATATAATTACACACACATGCATATATATTTTAAAAAAACATTATATATATATATATATATATATATATATATATATATATAAGCATGTGTGTGTATTTATATATATATATATGTATATATATATATATATATTAGGGATGCACCGATCCACATTTTTTCACTTCCGATCCGATCCCGATACCTGACTTTGGATATCGGCCGATACCAATACTTTTCCGATACCAGAGCTGTGTTTGCTTTAACACTATTTATCATTATTGTTGATTTTATATGATGCTGAAATAAACTCCTCTCTACAAGCAAGGATGATATGTACGTATGTATGTCAATATATATATATATATATATATATATATATATATATATATATATATATATATTAAACAATAGATATAAACAATAGATAGACAATTAAACAAAGATACACATTATACAGGCCTACACAGTGCTTTAATTTCAGGAAGGTCTAGTAACATTATTCATGTATGGTCTAAAAAGAATTATAATAAAGTAATCAAAAGTAAAATAGCACTGCAAAGTTTATCATAGATAGATTTATGCTTATTAAAGCTGAAGTTATTCATTCAAGAGCTGTGAGTGATTTTCTCTTTGCCTTTTGTTGTTTGATTCTCAGTAATGTCGCAATCGTCACATTTATACTGCTGCCCCTTTAAGAACGAGTTCAGATTTCATATCTACTGATGCACCATATTTTCTCCCAACTATTTCCATAACTACGTTCATTTTAGACATAAACGGTGGTTTAAGTGTTAATCTCCAAGCCGGTCGTTTTGACATTTTTGTGCAGGCTACATTTGATCGTTTGGACGCGCATATGAAGCCCAGAGTATAATTTGCTTGTCTTGTTGCGGTCTGTTACGGAGCGCGTGCCGCATTGGGAACAGATCTCTTGCGCAAATTTTGTGCTTTTAATAGCTCTTTTTATTATTAAAAGCGTCCCGCAATTTAGCAACAGCAGAGACTGCATTTTACAACAATCACCGATCGTGCTGCTGATTCTGTCTTAAAGTTTTAGTTTTAAGGAGAAATGACAGTGCACCGCCGCGATGGGAAGTTGGCTAGACAGAATGCGGCTATTGTTTTTAATGGTTTTTTACCTCAATACATTCTTTAATCTTTGGAAATCCGACTAATATCACAGATCTTTCACAGATCAACGTTTGAATGTTTAGTTCTGTCCTCTGTCGTCACGCATTAAGCAGGGCTGTCGTGTTGTGCTTGCTGTGGCACTGCGTGAGAGAGCTCTCTCTTTCTCTTCTGGACGGGGAATCCCTTTTGGAGTCATTTCAGCAGACAACGTTAAAGCGCAGACATGGATCATAAATATCGGATTTCTCCGCAGGTTGGATCGGAAAAATCCGATACGTGAATTACGCTGGTATCGGGTCCCGATACCGATACTGGATCGGATCGGCCCCATCCCTAATATATATATATATATATATATATATATATATATATATATATATATATATATAATTATATATATATATAAAATAATTATACACAGTGCACCCACATATATTATGTAAACACAAACTTTTATTTTGGATGCGATTAATCACAAATCTTTTTTTTTTTTAATTTATCTGTGGACACCAATATTCAAGTTTCAGGAATTTGTATGACTTTTTCAGTCATTCATGATTGCTGGATTAGGACTTTTCAGACAATTTCTACATTTTATAATTAGGCAGCCTTATATTTCCAGGTTTTCGGAAAAGATGTGAACCCTGATCCTTCTAAGAAAAAAGGAGGGTGAATAAAAATGATAAATAAATACCTTTAATAGATTTTTAATAGTTTTACCCTATTTTAAAAGTAATCTTCAGGCCCCTTGACAGTTTGCTGAGGCACCCTGGGGCGAGTGGCAAAAGACTAGTCTTACAAGTTAGTCAGGGTTGGGTATCAAGAATCGAGTATCGATTGGAACCCGGACTAACTTGTCGTTTTTCCCGGAATTGTTCAAAAGTTAAAATCTCGATTCCTATTTTCGATATTCACAGTCCGCCGACCGGAAGAAGAAACTGCTGAACAACACCAACGAAGACGCGTCTACCGGAAGTGTTGGCAAAACCGCGCGAGTCGAACATGAGTAGCTTACGTCGGCGGTCTAAAGTGTGGCTTCACTTTTCTAAAAAATAACGAAATCTCGGCAAAATGCAAAATTTGTGACAAAAGGAGTATTTGTGACAGAAGGAGTATTTCCTTCAGAAAGACCGTTGGTTAGCAAGGTTGGCTAAACTTTTTTGACCCTGCCTCTTAAAAGAATCGGAATCGAGAATCTTTAGGAACCGGAATCGAAACAAGGAATCGGAATCGGAATCAGAATCGTTCAAATTCAAACGATACCCAACCCTATTAGTCATCCAATTTTTTTCTTCTAAACTGTTCATAACTTTTCAAAGTTAGTTACATAAAAACGTACATTGGTCTAATTTGATACCGAACAGCAAGACTGATTACCCCTAACTAACTCCTAGTTGGTCAGACTAGTTCGACACTGTCTTAACATAATGGCTATGTTTATGCAACTGGCCCCTGGTTAATAACCACTTCTCTAGAAATTGATATTGACATTAGCCATGGGCAAAAACCCATATTTGTTGACTGTGGTGTACAATTCAGCACACACACACATGGGCTTGGCTATAATGATATCAAGTAGCACAAGAATACATTTGAATTGGGTTTTTGTTGTTGGATAAGTAATGCATCTGAATTCTCCTTTGATGTCATCAGGAATGTGAATTTTTGTTGTACGTAGTCTGATGCGGATGCTCAGCACATGTTTTTAAAGTTCATGACCAAATCTGAAACTAGAATTGGGCTTTTATGATGTGACGTGTTTTCTCTCAGGCTGGTGTTGAGGTGGATGATTGCGTGGGCGATTATGTCTTCCTCTGCTTCTAATTTTCTCGTCCTTCTTAAGAGTAAAAAACACACTGACTCGAGCGAACTTTCCCTGAACATGATGTCTCTGAGGGCGTCTCATATTCTGCTATAACTTTCTGGATTATTTAAGAGAGGCATCTAACAGCATGTCTCTCCTCGATATGGCGTAGTTTGAGGGATCGTTGGTGGTGGTTGAGGAGATTCACACTTCTATGTCCCACTTCTCTAGGGTTCTTCGTTTAACAGTCACACTCGGGAACTTCGGGTCAAAATTGACCCAAAGGGCGGGATTCATATTTAAAAAAGAAAATCATATTTTTTTTTTAACTTGTTTTTTATAATATTTTTTTCTTTTCATTTTTGGTGTTTTGAGAAAATTTAAAAAAATATATATATATATAATTAGTATTAATGCAATAATTACGACCAAATTTTCCCCCATTTAATATCATAGAAAAAAAAATATTAAAAAAAATATATTTTTTTTAATTTTTTTTAAAGCTGTATTTCATTTTAGAGTCAAGCCTAGGCCTCATAAAAGCAATTTTTGAAATTAGATGGATGCCATCTTGTGGACAAACTGAGCTTTTTAAAAATGCAAAACACATGTATAATCTGAATTTTTTGGTGTGTTTGTGTATAAAGGTGTGTTTGTGTGGATGTGTCTGTTTTGCTCTCTTGATGTTTTATAGATTCACCCCTTCACCGTTGTGTGCTTTTTTTCAAAGATCGTTGCTGATTTGTAGATTGTACTCACAAAAAAACTCACATTTTTGCCAATTTCCCATTCATTTCCTATGCGGGTCATTTTTGACCCGAAGGTCCTGAGTGTGACTATTTTTCTTACGACCACTTAGACTTTTCAAATCCTGTCCCCAATTTTTTTGGGTGTTCATATACCAAGTACCATTAAAGTCACCAAGTTTCGGACCATTCCGATGAAGCTACGATTTTTAACATTTTTTTTATTTAAACGCCCGAAGAGCCCCAGAGGGTTAAGGGTTTGCAGCAAATCCCTAACTTCAAGTATGGCGACTAATAGTGAGGCTTGAGCAAACCACACTAAAATGACTTGCTGCACCTCTTTTCTGATGAGCTGATGTGCTGAAACATGACACTGAATGGACCTCTAAGGCGTAGGTGATGGTTTATATTACCATTGGAAAGTGAAGCCCAGACGGCCAGTCGCTGTTGAACTTTGACCTGCGGTATTTGTTTGCATCTGCATTTTAACCCTGATGTTGGTTTCAGTAAAACTCATATCGCCACTTGTGCTTATTAATAGTGCAAAAATAGGGTGTGTTGTGTGCAAATTTAAAAAAAGCGTCCACCACTCAATGCACCCCACTTCATCCAAACACTGATTTTTGTGTGTGTTTGTGTGTGTAGCAACCATTTCATTGTCAATTGAATGGCTGTAAATTCTGCAAACAGTCCAAACTGCAATACAATCGTAAAACTAGAAGCAGGTGGTAGCAGTTTTTTCATTATATTATTCAATGTTTGTGTTGCTAATCTTGGACTTGCTTTTCTAGTGCGAAATGTTTAAAATGGAAGTCATGCCATTTAAAGTCGTTTGGCATCAGAAGCGAAATCCAATTTTTTAATGCTATTGCTAATTAAACTCCAGTAGTATCAGGGCTTGATCAGTGGAAATAAAGGCAGGTTGTGTAGACGTGCCATTCGATATGGTGAGAGAGAAAGGGAAAGCGAGATGAGATAACTGTAATTAGAAGCCGAAGGAAGAGGTGGCCCTGACTCGTATGGAAGATATCCAAGACTTTGTTAGCACTAGACAGGCAACAATGTTAGAATGCGTGACACCTGTCCAGTCGATGCTCTAGGTTTGCTCACTTTCTTTGTCTCTGTACATGTGTTTTCATGAGCAAAAACCATTACAAGAAGCTACTCTGCAAACTTGAAAGCAATTTTTTGCACTATCAACCAATTTCCATGCTTTTTGCTGAAGAGAGAAGGCTTGGTATTCTGGATGTGTGTTAAACGCAAGAGTAATGTGATTTCCCATTCTTCTCTTTTGCAGTGAAAGAACCTGGAGATGTCTCAGAAGAAGTTCTTCCTACTGTTGATTGCTCTCAGTACTGTCAGCTTGCTTCTGCACCATGGGGGTCACTTGTAAGAGTTTCTTCCATTTGTCTTTATCATGTTCCTTGTGATGCATTGCCATGATTTCTTTGACCAAAACAGAAAATTAGGTTTAAATAATACAAATCAGGTAATTGGTTAATTTAACTCAGAGTAGCATGTTATCAGTGGATACATTAAACCAGTTTTAGTAATGAGAATTTAAATTTGACGTATTGCCAAATTGTTTTGTCTCAATGAAGTATGGACACACATGACATGTTTACTTCTTGTTGTTTATCCATGTTTTGCGCAAGTATCATCGAATAAGTGCTAATTAAAAGTGACTTTTTTTGGTTGGTGAAATTTAAGACTATCACCACATTTGTTTTTGGTCTTTTCCAAAAACAGTGCTGCACAGATGATTCATACATCCAGATCAATTAGCATATAATAAAAACAAATAACAAAATAAAAACATCTCAGTCTAAGAATACAGTAAAATAATAACAGACATCAAAAGCAGGTTGTGTCTACACAACCTGCCTTTATTTCCACTGATCAAGCCCTGATACTACTGGAGTTTAATTAGCAATAGCATGCTATTGCTAATTGGATGTCAACTTAAAGGGTTAGTTCACCCAAAAATGAAAAATCTGTCAGTATTTACTCACCCTCATGTTGTTCCAACCCCGTAAGACCTTCATTCATCTTCGCAACACAAATTAAGATATTAAGATCGCTCCTGCATACTAGTCCATAGGCTTCTTGAGGGAATGACTCTTGCTGTCCCCGAAAAGTCATTAAAGACATCGTTAAAATAGTCCAAGTGACTACAGGGGCTCAATCTTAAGTTTATCAAACGACGAGAACACTTCTGTGCGCAAAAAAACAACAAAAATAACGACTTTATTTCAACTATTCGTTTATTTCTCCCTCTGCGCGAGTCAGGTTACTAGTTTAACGGCGTAAGCTTCTGTTATTGTACGTCACACGCATCACACACATGACCAGCGTCGGCCAATAGTGAGCCTACGTGTGACGTAGCTTTACGCAATCACACTACGTTAACTGACTACAGGCCCATGGAGAAGGAAGTGAATAGTTGAAATAAAGTCGTTATTTTTGTTTGTTTTTGCGCACAGAAGTGTTCTCATCGTTTGATAAAGTTAAGATTGAGCCATTATAGTCACTTGGACTATTTTAACGATGTCTTTCATGACTTTTCGAGGACAGCAAGAGTCATTCCCTCAAGAAGCCTATAGACTAGTATGCAGGAGCGATCTTAATATCTTAAATATCTTAATTTGTGTCCCGAAGATGAACGAAGGTCTTACGGGGTTGGAACAACATGAGGGTGAGTAAATACTGACAGAATTTTCATTTTTGGGTGAACTAGCCCTTTAAAAGGTTACTTAAGTAGTCAAAAAATACATAAATGAACTGAGACAAAACTTTGTAAAAAATAAAAATCATTTTGTGGAGGTTTAAATTACTGGGGTCGAATTGAAAAAGTGTTATCAGATCTGAGGGTAACAGGAGGGATAAAGGTGGCTTAAAAACCCTACTGCTAAAACGTTAAGATGATTTTACTAGTAGGGGTTTGTTTTTTTGTATTACCGTTCTTCTTATCTTATCTTCCACATTGATTTGCAAAGCTGATTGCATTGATTTTCCATTTCTTATTGCAGGACGTTGGAGGCATTCTGGTTGGGATGTCCATCCTCCATAATGCCCTCCACCCAGCGCAGCATTGGACCTGCTAAACACACCAGTATAGCCTTCTTGAAGACTCATAAAACCGCCAGCACCACTGTGCAGAACATCCTCTTTCGCTTTGCAGAACGCAACAACCTCACAGTGGGGCTGCCCATCACCACCTGTGACCACCAGTTCTGCTACCCTCGGCCGTTCAGCTCCCACTTTGTTCACCCGCACACCACGCCACCTGACATAATCACCAACCACTTACGGTTCAGCCGGGCTGAGCTACGACGCCTCATGCCCAACAACACCGTGTACATCACTATATTGCGGGAACCGGGAGCGATGTTTGAGTCTCTTTTTACCTACTTCAATCAGCACTGTCATAGCTTTAAGCGTGTCCCGAATGGCTCTTTAGAGACTTTTCTGAAGCACCCTTGGAGATACTATCGTCCAGAAGAGAATGATTCGATGTATGCGAGAAATACACTGACTTTCGACCTCGGTGGTGACAAGGACCGGCCGCATTCGGAAGCGGTGGGGTATGCGAAACGATTCGCCGCGGAGTTGGAGCGGGTGTTCTCGTTGGTTATGATCTCGGAATACTTTGACGAATCATTGGTGCTGCTGCGCCGCTTGTTGTCTTGGGATCTCGATGATGTTTTGTACATCAGTCTCAACATGCGCACGCCTGACTCCAAGAACAGCCTTTCCAGCGAAACTACGGCCAAAATCAGAGCCTGGAACACAATAGATTCGGTACTGTACGATTACTTCAACGCTTCGCTGTGGCGGCAGCTGAGAGCATTGGGACTCGCATGTGTCGAGCGAGAAGTCCTGCTGTTGCGACAGTCTCGTGACCGACTTGTCCGTAGCTGCTTCGGGGGAAATTTGCCGCCTCTTCGCTCTGCTGCACAGATCCAAAACAAGGAATTACGGCCTTGGCAGCCAAGCAGCAAAGTGGCAATCGTTGGGTACGATTTACCAGTTAACGTAACACAAAAAGGCCCCATCCCTCGGCAAGACAAGTGTCTAAAGATGATAATGCCAGAAGTGCAGTACACGCGGCTGTTGCTACGCTCAGAGTCTCTACAATATCGGAAGCGATATCCGTCACGGAGCTCCCAGCTGACTACACGATCTGTGGGACAAGTTCGGGCGCACAGAGAGTCCCCAGCTCCGAGTTTGGTCCCACGACCATCGGATACGATGACTCGGAGCCCCAAAGAAGCGCTACGCCATTCCCAAAGACCTGTGTGAAAGGATAGTCCTATAATTCCCCACTCCTTGTTCTGGACTGCAGCTAAATATCCATGAGTTGTTGGAATTACTTGAAAGCTTTTTTATTAGATGTGAGCACAACCAAACGCACGCTCACAACTCTTGTTCTATAAGTTGGGATTACCATTGTGTTCATAAAATTTAATTGTAAAAAGTTAAAGGAAAATATATATTGAAGTCTAAAAGCCTGACATCTGGAATGTCTCAATCTCTCAAGGACTATCTCCCCATATATACCATCATCCCTCATTGTTTGTATATAAGCAATCCGCTTCAGATAGCTACTTAAAGCTTATCTTTTATGGTCATAGCTGCTCTAGATTGTTGATCAGCTGTATATTGGGTTAACCTGGTAGATCATCTTGGTCAAAGTTGGTTAGACCACCTTGATAGACTCCCAGCAACAAACCAGCATGGCATGACCTTGAAGTTACGACAGGGTTTCAGAAGATATCTTTGCTCTATTGGATATTTGAGTTGAGTATTGTTAGGCTTTCTTTTAGTGACAGCGCTTCGTTTAAGTCTGAACGTTCACTCACTCATCAGCATAATGACAGCTGCACCTGAGCCACAAATTGCCATAACCTACTCTTCAGTTATGGTCAAAAAACCTTGCATCATGTGTCGATGATGATCTTATAGGATATTTAAATATTCTTTACTGTTCTACTCTTTTTGAGCAGTGCTTGGGTTACACTGCCCATTTTTATGAGGCCACTACTGAACAAGCCAGAGAGCTTTAGCCTTGAGTAAAAGCTGGGAATGGCGACGAGACAATTCGTCTACATAGACAGTGGCCGAAAAATCGCTATATGTTCTCAGCATTTTTAGTTCGATCCTTGTGTGTTTTTCGGGATAATAATGTTTATACTGCAGTGCACTTGAAAATGCGTAACTTGTATGTAATCAAATCAGAGTAGGAAATCGAGCTCCAAATTGTCAGTTTAAGGCCAACAGGCAAGTAAACTCGATGCCTGTGTTCACATACTGGCGTAGAGTATGCTAACTTTTCCTTTTTGGATCTTCGCTGTAAAGGTACTCGGTGGTGACCGACTGAATGGTGGCCACCTTCATAAAGAGTCGTGCCGGTGGAATGTAAAAACAGTCCTTCGACTGTCTTTGTACTTAAGACAACACTGCATCACTTTCATTCAGTGTTTCTCAACTGGTTTGGTTTTGCAGATAGATTTTACCATAGAGTCTGACTGGACGCATTAAATCAGACCCGCGACCAACCAGTTGGGAACCACTGGTTTAGGACGGTGTTTCCCAATCCTGTACCTATAGGCACCCCAACTCTACATGTTTTTTGAGCTCTTCCTTATCAAGTTCACCTAAATCAACTCGTCAGCTAATTAGTGGAGACTCCTTAGACCTGAAATGGATGGGTCAGATAACGGAGATGTTCAAAATGTTGGGGCGCCTCCAGGAACAGGGTTGGGGAAATATTGGTTTAGGCAACCAAATAGAAACTGAATACCTCTGAAAGAACAGCCTCTTACAGAAGGTTGTTTCTAATATTGGATTATTTGCCATTAACTTTTGAATTAAGCTAAATTTCATTGTGGGTCAAGTCATAATTTTCATCATTCATTTGGTAAAATCTCACCATCTTATTTTACTTACTGTACTTTTTAGAAAATTGTATTTGGAGCAATATAGCAATGGCGTGTATGCCATAATGTTAATAAGTATACTAGAAATGGAGGTATAAAGATCAAAACATGATGAGTCTTGAAACAATCGTCCGCCCATAAACCAGCTCCTGTTTTTAGGAGTCCCGGTTGATATTTGACGAAATACCGTTGGTGTCTCTTGCATAAAGTCTGGATCTATGAATCCCAAAAGCCAACTTTCTCATTTCTTCATGTTTCAAAATTAGAAAATACCTCAGAAGGTAAATTTTTTAGTGGAAGTGTCTCAGTCCTTAATTACTGTCAAGACATTTGCGATGTAGAAAGTGCTCTTTGTATATAATGTACTTTCTGTTGTACATGAACAATTGTGAGTTGTGAAACTCAAAACTCGTTCGTCTTTCTTGTTTGGGTTGGGAAACCTCTTGGTAGATGACGCTGGAGACAATTCAGTGGACATTTGTCATCTCTGACATATTGTAAGACAAATTTGAAGTAAAGCATTTACCGTACCACAATTTCCTGTATACAAAGAACCTGCTGTGGAATTGCAACCGGAAGAACTTTTCATGAAGACATTATGAGAGATTTTCATGCGTTTTTTTTGTGCTGGTTGGTGATAAAATCATTCTTTCATACTTTATTTATTTAATTTAACTGCTACAGTGACTTTTTATGGGCTTTAAATAAGATGACAATCAGAGGTTTGCTTCTAAAGCTGTGTGACGAAAGATGTGAAAACATTGACCATTAAAACTGAAACTGGGAAACAACATCCGTCAGGCTCGTGTGCTTCATTCTAATCATCTAGATTTCTATATTTCTGTATGTATATCAGATGGCTAACTAGAATACATTTTCCAATTCATCAAGTGGAACAAGTCTAAAATACCATGTTTTTGAGTGATGATGATTACATTTTCATAAATGAGTATCCCAAATGAATGTCAACTTTTTTTGGACCAAATATTTTTACAAAACATGGTAAAGGTTTAGGCGCTTTGCTATGTGAACACATATAATAATCATGAACATGATTCGGAAAAAATAAAAACGCAATGGAAGCAAAATTAACACCAATGGGAAACGCATTTCATCTAGTGTACTGCGTCCAAACAAAATATGATTTCTCTGAAAACTCATTTTTTTTGAGCCCATATTTGGAAAAAAACTTGTTTAGATTTATGGCTTTGTTTGTTTTGGAAAATATTTATTTCATATGAACATTGAAAATAGTATTTTTGTGCACTTTACGTACAATAAACGTAAATAGTTCAATACGTAATTTTTTTTTCAAACTTCACTCTGTGCTTCAAACCATTCACGAGTTGTGACATTTTTAGTTGGACATTTACATGTCTATGCTCAAAAAGTGTATTTAATGGATTATAACTACTGCTTAAATATAATTCAGTAGCATAAAATCTCCTAAAAATACAAATTATGAAATAAAAGACATTGTCAAACTAAAATATAGTCCATTCATTTAATTGAAAAAAAAAATCTGGTCGTTTTTGACCATCAGGCAAGCAAGACCAGAAGGTTAGGTTAATAGCCTATTTCATTATCTATTCTTATTTTTATATATGTGGCCCTGGACCACATAACCAGTCACATGGGTCAATTTTACATTGAGATTTATACATGATCTGAAAGCTGAATAAATAAGCTTTCTATTAAGGTGGGGTTAGTTAGAAGTTAAGATAGGACATCTGTGAAAAAAAAATTTGAATCCTTGGGAAAATCGCCTTTTATGTTTGCGATTGTGCAGTATTCACTCACAAAACTAAATGTTTTATATATTTACAGTAGGAAATTTACGAAATATCCTCATATGAACTTTACTTAATATCCAAATGATTTTTGGCATAAAAGAACAATCGATCATTTTTGAACCAAATCCTGTATTGTTGGCTATTGCCACAAATAGCCTACACCCGTGCGACTCATGACAGGTTTTGTGATCCAGGGTCACATGTGTTTTTCTGTTTTATTTTTTATTTGTTTTTTTTATGCATTGTCAAAATTCTGCATTAACTTCATGATGTCCATTTGCAGTGTTTTAAAAACCTCTGATTAGACATGAATCTGTAGGAGCTGCCGAAGAATGAAAGGGAGCTGATGCTGCAACATTGGGAAGCGCGTGGAAGGAGTGTGTGTGAGCCGGATGGATCGGAGAAACAACATGAATATGAAATGCAAGTATGTATGGAGTTCATTCTTCATCTGTTAATGAAAGTTACTGTTAAATAATGTCAAATTTGGGCTGTACCGAATAGCACACAAAATGTTCCCCGCACAACAAAGACGACTGCATGTATCCCACAATGCAATGTACTCGGCCTGACCTTTCATTAGAATTGATTTTTACAATTGACTAAATAAGTTTAATTATTAAAAAATAAGTCCAATTCTTATTTTAATCATCTTTGAGATTTTACAGGGGGTATTTAAAATGTATTAATTTATGCGTGCATGATATATAAACGTATACAAAACTTGGTAAATCTCATATTTAGAAAAGGAAATACTTCTAGCAAACAGAAAGACACAGATTGAAGGTTGACTTGACGCAGCAAGGAACCTTTCAGAACTTATCAGGAACCGAATAGTAACACGGTAATCAACATACACTCGCAAAAATAAGGGGGTTTTGAAGTGATGCAAAGAACCTCTTAAAAAGATTTTTTTTTTCTTGTATAACAAATGACCAAAAAAGTGCAATGGACAAATTCCATGGGAGTTAAAGGAACCATCAATGCCAATAAAGAACTTTTATCTTTCCGATCTCCCTTCAGAAAAAAACTAAAAATCTGATGGATAGAGATAGAAAGATGGATGGATGGATAGATAGAAGGATGGATAGATAGATGGACAGATGGTATACAGATGGATGGATGGATGGATGGATTGATAGATGGATGGATGAATAGATGGTAGATAAATAGATTTTATACATATGGATGGATGGATTGATAGATGGATGGATGAATAGATGGTAGATGGATAGATGGTAGATGGATGGATGGATGGATGCATAGATAGAAGGATGGATAGATAGATGGACAGATGGTAGATGGATGGATGGATAGTGGATGGATAGATAGATGAATACAAGGATGGATGGATAGATGATGGATGGTAGATGGTAGATGGATGGATGGATGGTTGATGGATAGATCGATGAATACAAGGATGGATGGATAGATGATGGATGGATGGATGGATGGATGGATGGATGGATAGGTGAATAGATAGATAGATGGATGGATTGATAGATGGACAGATGGTAGATGGATAGATGGTAGATGAATGGATGGATGCATAGATAGAAGGATGGATAGAAGAAGGATGGATAGATAGATGTATAGATAGAAGGATGGATAGATAGATGGTAGATGAATGGATGGATGGATAGATAGATGGTTGATGGACAGATCGATGAATAGAAGGATGGATGGATGGATGGATAGATGATGGATGGTAGATGGACGGATGGATAGGTGGATAGATGGATGGATGGATGGATTGATTGATTGATGGATGGATGAATAGATGGTAGATGGATCCATGGATAGAAGGATGGATAGATGGACAGATGGTAGATGAATGAATGGATGGATGGATAGATAGATGGATAGAAGAAGGATGGATAGATAAATGGATAGATAGAAGGATGGATAGATAGATAGATGGACAGATGGTAGATGAATGGATAGATAGATGGACAGATGGTTGATGGATAGATGGATGGATGGATGGAACAATAGATGGACAGATGGTAGATGGATGGATGGATAGGTGGATAGATAGATGGATGGGTGGATGGATAGATAGATGATGGATAGATGGATATTTATGAATAGATAGACAGAACAAACCATTTTGGTTCCACAGAGACCGTTTCGGTGATCAGTTCTTAAAAGAACCTTTTGTGGAATGGAAAGATTCCATGAACATTAAAAGGTTCTTCTTTGAACCATTGTGTTGTTTTTAAGAGTGTATATTAAAATTGATTCATTTATCTTTGAAAATAGACAAACTATTAACCTTTAAACACATGATTTGTTTGATGAATTGAATTGAACAAACTAAAAAAAAGTTTCAGATCGAGCAGAGAGAGGGAAAACGGTGTGTTGAGAGGAAATCTCCAGCTAACAGAGCAGAATAATGCGGAGATGGAGAAGTGTGTGTGTGTGTGTGTGTGTGGGAGAGAGAAAGAGTAGGCGCAGACGACCCTTCAGGAAAAAACAGATGAGTAGATGAAAAACAGAGAGATATGAGAGGCAGAGGAGGGATGATGGGAGATTTTAACACTAAGCAGTAAAGATTTAAAGCCCTTCAGGGCCACACACACGCACACACACACACTGGCAGTTGAACAGCACACAACACACAGCTGATCTTTCAGCAACAGACTAAATATTTATGGTGCTGGAGGTGAATAATTTAAGACTCTTACAGACCCTGCAGCAACTCATCGCTGGAGAATCAATGAGACCAGCGGCCCAGAGGAGTGTGTGAGTGTGTGTGCGTTTCCTTCAGTAAACGGTTCCTTTCAGGAAAACGGCTTAATAAACAGTAAATGCGTTACTGAAAATGCAGAAAGGTTACTATATGTTAAGTTTGGGATTAGAAACTTAAAATTGGCAGCGCTGCATATAATCAATGGAAAGTACTGACTGTTTTAGAATAACAAGTGTGTGTGTGTATGAGTGAGTGAGTGTGTGTGTATGAGTGAGTGTATATATGAGCGAGTGAGTGAGTGTGTATGAGAGTGTGTGTGTGTGTGTGTGTGTGTAGACTATAGGAAAGTTAGTGTGTGTGAATGAGTGTGTGTGTGTGTGTGTGTGTGTATATGATTGGTAGATGATGGGTGGATGGATGGATGGATGGGTGGATGGATGGATGGATGGATGGATGGATGGATGGATGGATGGATGGATGGATGGATGGATGGATGGGTGGATGGATGGGTGGATGGATGGATGGATGGATGGATAGCTGGATGGATGGATGGGTGGATGGATAGCTGGGTGGATGGATGGATGGATGGATGGATGGATGGATGGATGGATGGGTGGATGGATGGATGGGTGGATGGATGGATGGATGGATGGATGGGTGGATGGATGGATGGATAGCTGGATGGATGGATGGGTGGATGGATGGATAGCTGGATGGATGGATGGGTGGATGGATAGCTGGGTGGATGGATGGATGGATGGATGGATAGCTGGATGGATGGATAGCTGGGTGGATGGATGGATGGATGGGTGGGTGGATGGATGGGTGGGTGGATGGATGGATGGGTGGGTGGATGGATGGATGGATGGATGGGTGGATGGATGGATAGCTGGGTGGATGGATGGATGGATGGATGGATGGGTGTTTGGATGGGTGGATGGATGGGTGGATGGATGGATGGGTGGATGGATGGATAGATGGACAGATGGTTGATGGATAGATCGATGAATAGAAGGATGGATGGATAGATGATGGATGGTAGATGGATGGATGGGTGGATGGATGGATGGATGGATGGATGGATGGATAGCTGGATGGATGGATGGATGGATGGATGGATGGATGGATGGATGGATGGATGGATGGATGGATGGGTGGATGAATGGATGGATGGGTGGATGGATAGCTGATGGATGGATGGGTGGATGGATGGATAGCTGGATGGATGGATAGCTGGGTGGATGGATGGATGGATGGGTGTTTGGATGGGTGGATGGATGGATAGATGGACAGATGGTTGATGGATAG